GTGTGTCTAAGGACACGGGACTATCAAATTTGTTGACGACAATTTTGGTTAAGGAAGTGAGGGCAGTAGACACCGTCTCCGATTGGATAATAAGACAGTTGGTGGACCAGGAAGGGTTTTAGCCGCCCTCGCGAGAAAGTTGCTAACGGAACATACCAGATGTGAAGAAAACCAAGTTTCTAAGCTAACACGTGGTAAACAATAAACGTAAAGAGATATTTAAGACAGGAAATACTCGCTTGGTCCGAAGGACCTTAACTATAAAAATGCCAAGGCCCCTGGTGGGTACTTAAGACTATTGAGGGTGCGCACCAAGGATATGCAGACATCTGGGTGCCATCCTGTCCGTGGTGTGTGGCCTGATCTCTGATGTGAATTGGCGTTACAGCTTCGGGGTTTTCAGTTATTCGGTAACACAGCTAGCGTGCGGATCTGGACCAGCTCAAATTGTATTCTTACTTATAATTACACTTCTATTTAAATATATTTTCTGCCTTACAATTTATCCACGAGTTTTCTCTGTTTACACATCGAATAACCCCAACAATTTAAATATAATTCGAGAAATCTAAGATTCAACATCTAGACTAATACGTAGCGGTTACTATCGAAGATCAAGATCAGATCCTAACAATATGTACGCATATGTACACATTTTATTTAATCACTTTATATTTATATTTCTTTAGTTATTTTAGAAGTTAAACTATGTTCTACAACATATCGATAATGTGATAATCATTCCTGATTTTATTCATTAGTTTTAAATACCGTATAGTGCTGCGGAATCTTGTTCACAGTTAAACTACAAATTACATCGTGTCTCTTTATTCTTTTAGCTTTAGTGTGGATGCATATCCCCAGTATATACTCCAGGGTCTCAGCCATAACCCGGCACCTTTTAAATTTCTAATCTATTTTGTTATTAGCTCTTCTGAACGCTACTTGTGATGTTCTCGATTAGCCCGATTTTCATTCTACTAGTCTGACATGTGATATTCATGTTTGGTACAAAATTTTTATTATGAGTCATTGTATAGAGAGGATTCAGAAATACTCTGAAGACCTCGATAATCTTCTTGCACGCACATGTCACAGGTGAAATTCGACCAACTATGCGATAAGATAGCAAATTCCAAACGCCTTATCCTGAGTGACCACCGGGGTAGCATCCGGTCACTTTACCCGTTCTCAGAAATATATGATAAGTACGACCAAAGTCTTTTTCCACTCCAACGAATAAAAAATATAAATACTCCTCCCAAAATCATCCAAGTCAGTCTGAATAAGTCCGAACCAGTGTACACATTAAAAAGTCTATCGTTGCGAACTGCGAATAAAGAGTTACCATTTAATTATTGTATAAAAAATTGAGTGGAAATAAAGAACTCGATTTCCTGTTTGGAGATCGACATTTTTTTTAAGTCATTTGTTGAATGTTTACGTTACACACGCTTGTTGTCAGCCGACTCCTCTAGATTCTTCTAACAGTTTCCAATCATCTTTTGTCTCAACTGAGACCTGGACGCCCTCTGACGCTTACACACACATTCACATGTACAGTGTAAATGTATCATCTACCTAACAG